AATTTGACCCCACATTTTCCTCGTTAAAGAGCTACATTTTCCGGAAACTGTGATGGCCAGTCCGGGTTATGGGAGGCAAAGCGCTTTGCCCGCACCATAGAAACCTTGTGGAAATCGTGCCCTGTTGGAAACCTTGTGAGAATCGTGCCCTGTTGCAATAAGGGATATGGAAATCTCAAAGCTGATCCGGAAACTGACAAGAAGTCCAAATTCAGCGGAGTTCGACTCCATGAAACTCTCCTTCTAGAGCAGTATGTTAAGCGCTGAAGATTCACTCACTTCTTTGGGTGAGACGTTTCCGGGAACCTTCAGCTAGCTCCGAGCAAGTCCAAAGAGCGGGACTGAGCCAAAGCCTCTTTTGTGAAAAAACAGGGGTCTTATAAGTACGATCGCATCAAGTTAGTGGTTATGGGCCAAAAAATCCTCCTCGCGGCAACTAGTTTGCGCGTACGGCAGCATGATTACTCATCCTCTCTGCGGCTCATATAAAGTCCGCGCACACGACACCTCTTGCAACGCCTCCTTCACCGCGCAGCCGCAACTCGGACCTCTTGACCACCCCAGACCTAGTAGAGCAAAAACAATTTCTGAAAACTAAGGGAGCAATTTCAGTTTATTTCAGTTAACTTAATAAATAAATAAAAACTTAATTTCAGATGAACCGCGATAAAATAAGGCTATGACCTCTCAAATGTGTCGGACGATACGGAAGGCAATTTTTTTAGGCTGCGCTACTTTCAAAATGTGAAAAACGGCAAGAACTCCGCTAGAAGCTGACTAATTAGGCCCATGGACACCCCTTAGGCCCATGCCGACCCTCACCGGCTGCTAGCTACTAGCTAGTAGCCACTATGTTATCTTTCTCTAACTGCTGTTTCTGCTGTTTCTTTCTCGCGCTAATCCCCAGAATACTTTGCATTTTTTTGTGGCCTATTTGAGTTCCGTTTCCCGCAACTTGCGTCGCGAACTGTGCCTTTAATTTCAGATGACGAAGACTACGACGTCAACGAAGAAGATGCACCTAGCACCTGGAACAAGGTGAGACACAGGAACTTTGATCTACCTTTCAACCCTCCAGACTCTTAGGGCTATTCATTTAGGCTGAGGTTATAACCCCTCGTGACGCCAGCACGCCCACAGGTGAGCAGTCATCTGGTGGAGGTGCTTTCATGGAAATGGAAGACGTCATCGAACAGTCAACCGCAACATCAACGACCACTCCTCTAACAAGGAAACTGCCACGAAAACTCGCCAAAGCAATGTGAGTAGTGCTCTGTTAAGATGTAGTCAGGTAGACTCACTCCCCCCCTCCCGCAAGATGAAGAGTGAACGATATTTGCAGTCGCTGGCCTGGATGGTGAGAGGCGGTCAAGACAATCGTAGGTTGCTGCTCGTCTCGTTGCGCGATGATGGCTATTTCGAACTTTATTAGCCTGCCGACTGGACTACGGATTTTGAGTAGAGTTCGACGTCGTTGAGATTTATGGCTATTTTCAGCGATACGTCGCTGACTGTCGCCATCCAGAACTTAGAAATGTCGTTATTTCGATGTCGCACGCGACAATTTACGATTGTCTTGTCACATGCATCTAAACGGTTTGCTCAGGCGTTCGTTGCGGCCGCCCGCGTCGGACCTTTGTTGTTTCAGACACGTTTTTTTCAGTTTGGACCTTGTTCTATGCATTTTCAGTTGTATCTCCTTTTATCATTATTTATTATCCTTTTAGGAGGTCAAGGGAGTCTCCAAGCTCATCCATGGACCCACGATCCGTATTCTACGAGGAGGAAATCAAACTATCAATGCTGCGCCAACAATTAGCCCTTGAGGAACTAAAGCTGTTGGTGATTAAAAATGATCTCGCTCGGGCTCAACTGGAAAGGGAAACGATAGCCACGGAACGGGAACGCTTTGAACTGGAACGGGCAAAGCATGTGAGTGTACTGATTAGTGTTACTGGTTGCGATACAAGGAATTTAGTGATCAAATGAAGCAAAATATTACGAATAAGGAGGAAAGTATTCATAAGTACTTACCTGAACCATTCAGCCATAACCAATGGGTAACGCCGGTAAAACGTTGACCGCATCTTTTCCAGACGATCCTCAATTGGCGCGGTTGCATTCCAATTGGTAAACCTGGAAATATGCCACAGATTCGCTTCACAGTAATTCCTGGTGCTTCGTGCTTCATATCTTGGCAGAATGGGGAGCACGAGGCCCAGGGTAAGAGGGATTCTGTTCCGATTTTTGAAATAAAAATTTTTGCGCATGCACGCGTGGAAATCAGACAAGGAGATTACACTGGAAAAACTGAGCGAGTCCACCAGGGAGTGAAGCTTGTACGAAGACTCGTGCAACAGTGGATCTACGCTAATGAACGATACCCCTCCACTGCACGGAATTGCATTTACCCAACAGCAGACCTGCTACCCGTTGGGCTCGAGACAAATAGATCTTTTGTCTTCATCGTCCAATATCTCAATTTCCACAAAGTAATCTTTTCGCATGCATCTCCATCTCGAGTGGACTTCCATGGTGAGTTTCGAAAGGGGCCAGAAAGGTTCGGGAAGAGCCCAGGAAGGAATGGGAAACGGCAAATGTCGCCATAATATGATAGTAGATTGATGGAAACGGTGTAGTAACATTGGTGCACGGTCCGTATATCAAATCCACACTCGAACCATGCCAAGCCCGGCTGAGCCATTCATCCCCATCAGGGCTCCTCGAAAGTTTCCTCCTCCTGGTAGGGAGCAGCACCCCCCCCTCATTTCTACGAAAACTGCGTGTATAGCGCAGCTGCGTACTTTGAAACAGTGGGAACCAAGAAGGTACTCTAAAGCGAATATCAGCCACTCTCAAAGGGCCGGAAACGACCTCCTCTTCCCCCACCCCCGCCCCCCCTATTGCTTGGAGGATGTCCCGAACGCTGTCGTAGCCCACTTTATTGTCTAGTAAAGTCGTCGCGGAAAGAAAAAACAGGCTGGACTGTAATTCGTTGGCCCGTATACGTCACTATAGTGACGCAGAAATGCGCAGATGCCTTCACCCCTTTATGGGTATTAAAGAAGGGCAAGGAGTAGGAAAAAGAGGCACACATGCATTTATGCGGACCTCAACCTGCCCACAATATTGTATGGACCGAGTGCTTTATTCCTTTTGCCCTCTATGCGGTCTTTAAGAAGATAGCACGCATAAATCGGGTATTTATCTACGCATTTAAATTCTTACCACTGCGCATCTGGGAGTGGATCTCCTTTCTCTTCAAAAAGTGGCTGTAGAACACCTCTATACGGGACTAAGTTCGGGACCCATTCAACGATTCCTCCAGCTTCCTGAAATCAAACAAATGAGTTCTAATTACCTTGGAGATTCCACTTTTAAGGAGCAATATGCCGAAGAGCTGAAAAACTGTTCTAATACACACAAACTTGGCTCGAGCAACTAATTGAGAAAGAGAAATGATCGCATTGGACGTGAAGACTGAAATTTGAGAGGGAGAAAAAGGGTAAGAAGAATTGCACCTCTATTTAGATACCGGAAGTGCGAAGGGCGTGGCTGCGTACTTCATTTGAACGCGGCGGCGGCTGCGTTCTGGTGGATATTGCCGACAATAGTAAGCATGCCTCTGACCAGTCCAAGTCAGTACGGCAGTTGTCTCAAATAGATATATACCACGGAAAGGCATCTTACGCAATGTTTAATTGGAGTTCGTAGCCACGCCCTCTCCATCTCGGGATATCGAGTGTAGTTCACTAACAAAGACTAGTGTTATTGAAAGAATTCTTTTCAGCAATATGCCGATCAAAACGCTGAGATCTCATCTTAGAGCAACGATATTTATAAATAGAGAATTTATATGGCGCTGTAAATGGTCTTTCCTATTTCATAACAAACCCCCAGTGTACGTGTATGACAAATGATTCGCTGCTATTGTTGTTATTGACTGTTTCTTGGACAATAACTGGTCATTTTTGTTTTTACTCACTAAGAAGATAGTACAAAAAAGGATTCACTAGATGATATCATGTATAGTTACTGTACAAGCCAAACACGGCCGCACTAAGTGGAAATCGCGCGTGCTGATGCGGAGCGGCATGTGCGCATGGCTGCGCTATGCAAGCTGCTCCGCGACCGCACGCCCATTTCTCATGTATTGTGTCAGAGAGTCAATGTTACAAATGTTTATTTATTTATTCGTTAGTGAAGTGTTAGTCAGAGAGACTAATGTAATTCATGTTAGAAGATGTATTATAGTGGTTGTCCATTTCAGTGTGATTTATAGAGTAAATCTAAATATCTCGCAGTTGAGTGTCTGATCCAAAAAATGCATGAGAGTGAGAAACGCATTTCCCTCCGTGGGATAATGTCATCTCGACGAAGGTCACGCAGAAGTCACCCCTATGCCAGTAAAGCAAGAGAAATAGATTTTCAAAAAAAAGCTGCTGTATTCAAGAAGAATCAGGGGATTCCAAGCGGAGGAACTGACCTCGACGCACGCCCCTGCCTGTGGTTCAGAGGCACATCCCATATAGATCAAAGCCTTGTTCGCCGCGGATGATGGGGCGTGTCAGGGCCATGGGTCTGGCGCGGAGCCAGCCCTTCTCTTTTTTCCTTCGTCTAGCCGATAGGAATGTATTCATGTCGGTAATTCGTTTCCACCGTATTGTTGCTTTGCTTACTCGCTTTCAATAAACTGCTGGGAGAATCGATGCCAGATGGATCGTCAATCTCACCTCACTGAGAACATCCTTTGTCATATTCATTCCGCCACTGATCAAGACTGTAACTAAAACCATGGAGTGTTTTGCGTATGGTTAATATATTGGATTTCCATAGCAATGCCCAAATTGCTCAATGGTATTTTCATGAACCTTAGTTTCGAAAAAACTAAGCTAAGCACACAAACGGAAGCCTAACCTGTAGAGGGATGACGCTGAACGTTCGCACTGAGAGTTGGCGTCGGCGGGCATCCGCATTTTGCCTCATCAGGCTGTTCATCATCTGAAACAGCAAACACTTCGGTAAACCTCAGCAAAAACCAAAACATCAACTTCGACCTCCTTCATCTTTCGAAAACAAAGTAGACACTGCAAGAAAGGATAAAGAAGAATCAGCTTCTGCTCAAGGCTAACCAAGTTCCCTCCAAGATCGGTCATTTGGTTCCAGGGGAGCAAGGCGGGGTAGTAACGAGATTTAGAAGCGCTGCATGAAGAAGCCAGTTTCCAGGAACATGCTTTTTTGAAAGAATTTACTCCTCTAGGCGCAGATCCTGAACAACTGCATTTCAGGTTCGGAAGCAAGCGGCCACCAATATCGCAAAAAGTCAGCATATTGTCACGGGCCTCCCTTCGGACAACTGAAATCTCGAAAATTATTTTTATTGATGTCATATATATGAGTGTTTGGTGGGTAGCGGTTTAGTGGCAAGTGGCGCAGATCTGCTGGCATGCGGTATG